TCTCTAACTCTGCCAGGAAATAATTATTATTGCTATTAGGGAGCATTATTGTTAGGAGTTAGGAGTTGGCCATTATTAGGAATTATGAATTATTATTAGGAAATCCACTGCACTGTGATTGCTACGTGAGGCCCCTGAAAAGATGGCTGAGCACTCACACGGAAGTCCCAAAAGAATGGTCGAACGTTAGCTGCGAGAGTCCGCATTTCTTGTCCCACAAACTTTTGACGGAAGTCACGGAGGATCTGATGGGATGTGGCCAGAGGGACGTCAAAGAGTATCCCGAGTTCGACGTCACGCCCGACGTGAAGTACCGAAACATCGAGTAGTACGTATATATCAAAAACGAAACGACCATCTTGGTGATCGATACAGACGAATATTTCAATTCGTTTATGACAAATGCAGTTTCTTGCGTTCTTTTCGAAATTTGGTAGAAATTAGATTTTCAGCAAATTAAATTTCCAGAATTTTAGAACTAGGGACTGTAAGATAAAAATTAGTGACACTTTTCTTTGGGGGTAACGATGAATATTTTTTAGTAACGAGGAGGACAAGAGTTGGAAGGCGACGTGGTACGTGACGTCGCGAGAAGACATCGGCGACTTTTACGTGGTGGTTCGAGAGTCCGGGAGTAGCAAATCCGCGATCGAGAAGGATCTCGTCTACAGCGAGAGGTCCTTTAAAATTCCGGACTTGCGGGACTCTGGGACAAAGTACGAGCTGTGCGTGCTCGCGAGGGACTCGGAGGGCAACGTGAAGCACTTTCGAAACTCGCAGTGTCAGACATTGGCGCAGAACGGGTTCGACTCGTCCGCGTCGAGGTTCACGGTGAACGCGTTCCTGATTCTAATCGCCGTGTCCTTCGGCATTCTAGCGTGACGCTGGAAGAAAAGAGCGTCGCGACATCGCGGTAGATCATTCTCCGCGATTCTTTCGCTTCTCCCACGATTAACGCATGTAAATAACGATACGATCGTAAATCGATGTCGCGGCGTGGATCGTGGCTGTACATAGGTTGTGTCTTACCAGCGAGGTACGTTTCGCCAGGACGTTGAACGTCGTGTATTTATTTTTGTAAAAATATAGTCGCATAGAGCCGATCCTAAACGATTCTCGTTTATTCTCTGTGAACTAGAAAAATACATTGAGTGACAAATTTAATCGAACTTAGGATTCCCAGGAATACCCAGAGTCCTTCTTTTCAAAAATCCTCGTTTATCTCGTTTATCGCAAGCGATCGATAGAAAAAAAGAAAAAAAAAAAAAGGAGAAAACGGAAGGAAGAAGGAAGATCCATCGATGGGATCGGGAGAAAGGGTGAAAAGAGTTGGCTGTGTAATTTGAGATCGTTAGGTGGTCGGGAGGTCGGGACGATTAGCGGACAATTTGTCTTAATAACTTTTGTCGGCTAATCCCACGAGCCTAATTCCTCGAGCCCGGAGCGTTGTCCCGCCGCTAATAAAGGCGTTTCTCCCGGTTGAAAAAGTTCTCAAGGAAGTCAGCGGGGCTCGCGAGCCGCGCGTAGTAAGATGATTTCATTATTCCGCGTTTTATAATTAACATCCACGGTTATCCCGGAGGAAGAGCAACGGCTCGGGGCTTTTCTAATGAGGTCGAAGTCCCGTGGAAGTCGTCGCTTCCGCAAAACGATCCTGCGGCCAGATTAATGACGTCACAGCCGATCACGATCATCCACGCGACACGTTCTCTCTGCCTCGTTCTTTCCTTCGCTGTTCGTTCACTCTCGGCTATTATTCGAGGTAGATCTCGATCCGTTCGCGCCATGTTTTTCTACGTGTCGAAGAGAAAAATCTCGCGAGAGATACGTGACGAGCAGGGGTGCGACCACGCTGTTTCGTTGACGATTAACGGGACTTTGGATCGGTGAACACGCAACGCGCGCGATCGTTATCGCCACCGTGCAAGGAAAAAAAGATCATTTACTTTTTTTTTTTTTAGACGTTCGTTCTTACTCGAAAACCTTGCTTCTTTTGGCAGAAACTCTCAGACGGTATCCTTGCAAATATTTGAGACGCGTCGTGATACTTAAATATCGTTTTAAGCGTACGTTCTCGAAGAAGGGGCATTACCCTCGGAACGTTTTCAAGCAAGTTTTTATTCTTCTTGAAACTGTTGGATTCCGTGTAATGGAGTCAACACGTTTACAATTTAGAAGAGTTTATTCCCTTACAGTCGTGATCGTGTATGAAATAGGATGATATACAATGATTTAGAATGTCTTAGAATATGATGAATGTCTAATGCTCTCAACGATATAGAATGTCTCTATAATGATTTAGAATGTTTTATGAGCGTAATGTCTCTAAAACATGTCCTTATATATATTTGGTTATCATCGTCAAGTGGAAGAGGAAGGAGCATAGATGACCAACAATTAGATCTTGCCCTTATGACTAACTATTCACAGTCCACTTTTATGTGGACTGTTGCTAGCTTATTGTCAGTATTTGCATACATTCAATATTGTCCGGGTTGGTCATCCAACCAAACATCTTTTAAACATTCGACTTGAACACAGCATCCTAAAGACTTTAGAGATCCATCAACGTTTAGCCGATGTCGTTTCATTAGCGCAATTTTTTTCCAATCGAACTTCCATTTTTTAATGTTAGAAATAACGCGATATTTCTTCGTTGTTACGTCTTCCATCTGTGCGTGTCTTATAATTTCATGAAACTTCGAGGGAGTACGTATGTGTAACGTCACGATAAATCATCATCGTTCGATCCTTGATCCTTAAATCCTGTGTCTACGAGATTAATCTGCAACAACTGCGAACGATTAAATTGGATCGCGAAAGAGAAGATGTGATTCTGGAACAGCATAGACACGCGTCTTCCCTCTTTATCCCCCACGTCGTTAATCTTATTATTTGCGATCTTGGTGCGAGATCGGTACGGATTCTTTGATAGCACGTTACCGGAAACGCGATCCTCTCGTGCGATCGCTTTAATTATCGAATTCTTTTTTGTTCTTTTATCCGAGGCAGTCTCCGAGGAAAGGAGTCCAATTAGCATCGAACCGTGGCGATCGTTACGGAGCCGAACGATTTCTCGTCGCCCAGCGTAATCCGCAATCGGTTGCTCGTTACGAAATCCTTGGACACTTTCACCTCCGGGCTTAGAGGAGTATGGCGTGTACACTCCGTCCAGGTACCGTACACGAGCGTGCACGATTCTGTACGAACGAACACGAACGATGGCGCGCCGGCAGTGTCTATCAGCGGCAGACATCCATTTGTCTGGCCTCGGTTCGACCATAAGGCCCCCAAGGCTGTTTTACTTGAATAAATTTATGCGCGACCGATCCTCCCGGTCGAACGAGCCGCGACCAGACTTCGGTTTCGTTGACCTGCCCACTCTCGGCTTCCTCTGTTAACCTTTTGCCTCGCCGCTTTCTTTTCGTTCTTCGGTTCCGCTTGTTAGTCTTCGATTTAACGCTAAAGCTGCCAGAACAGTCAGGAAAATGAATTTTTCATTCGGGATTTTTGAAGATTCTGATAAAAGTCTCGATGTTGTTAGACAATTAATCGACCATTTTTATTTACCATATTTATTCTAATAACGTGATTTATATTCATGGAAGCAAGAAACTGGAAGATTAATAGCGCGGTAAACGGATGACGATGTGATCAGTTTCTTTGTGTTGGTTGAACGCATTTACATAGTTCACTTTGGACAGTGACTCACACACGGATCCATATAAGGTCCAACGTTGTCCGACTCTCTCTCTCTCTCTCTCTCTTTGTCGGTGGACCTGGACTTGTACGCCTACGGCGAAACGACGAGTCGAGAAACTGCGAGATAAAAAGGAGCGATCGAACGAGGAGGAACCTCGAAAAGGCTGGGGCCGGCCTACGTGACTCGATTTCGTAGCCAAACGTGCATAAACATCTCGCAATTTAAAATATCGGAGCGTTCCTCGGGCCGAAAATGTGCTCAGCTCGTTAATTCTCCGGCAGCTTCGCGCCAACTACGCTCGCGCTCGTGGGAGGATAGAATAATCTCTTCTTGGTATCGCTCCCATCGATCTTACAGCGTCGATCGATCCACCGAGCAATTAGGGTGAGACTCTTGCAGCCCTAACTCCGTTATAGCCACGTTACACTTACAAATGTCCCGACGAACGTTAAAAAGCGACGTTGCGAGAGCAAGTTCTTCTTGCTGACGGTCGAAATATCAGAACTTTTCAAAATAGTTCCACCCGAAGTGGAATTTAATTTTGATCGGTTCGTAATTTTTTCACACCTATTTCGATAGAAATTATCTTCTTATTAAAATCTTATCATCTCATTGATATATTTGGATCGCTTTGATCGTTCCAATCAATTTTTCAAGTCGTCTGTTTCCAAATCTAGATTTTTAAAATTGAATGTAGTCAAAAATCTGTGGCTCGGAGAAGCCCATCTCGCACACTGTTGGAAGCTGTCCATATTTGGATCACTTTGATCGCTGACGTACTACATCACGTTACTTAACAGCCAGTCAAATCGTCCATTTGCCAAACGTAGAGTTTTAAAATGGAATTTGTCCAAAATTTGACTCAGAGAGCCCTACGTTGAGATCCTATTTGAGTTTATCATATCACATTTGGATCGCTTTTCAACCTGAGAGAAATTTCATCTGTACCACTGTCGCCTGATAATATCCCTGCCCTCGGGTACAAGTGCCCTCGAGATTCCTGCTCGAGCGTTACAGCTTTATCCGTGTTTTCCGTCAGATGGATACCGCAGGATACCGGTGGACCGCGAGAGGTTAAGCCAGCGGTTGCGAAAAATGCCGGTATCAGCGGCAAGGGTACCTGCTGCACAAAGTACCATCGGACGGATCTCACGTGCGCGCCGTTAAAAAGATGTTGCCCCGTTCCGCGTCGACGTCCGGCTGCGCACACCGTCTGCCTGTGGCTCCGGTGTGCGTTTTTCGTTGTGTGTGTGTACGTGTGTTCGAACTCTCCCGCCAGTGCACGAACGTACGGGCCCGTCAGTGCCTCTCGCGTTCTCGCACTGGGAACAACTCCGACTCGGTTCCGCCGCCGCGTCTCATCTTCGCAATTTTTTCCCCCTTTCTTCCCCCAGTGTCTCTGCGTGATCCATCGGAATATACGCTGTCTGCTACGTATCACCTATATCGACATTTAACCAAAAGAAAAAGAAAAAAAAAAAGGAAAAGTGAAAATACCTTTTTCTAAGGGCGTCGAGAAAGCTGAGTCCGAAAGGAGACCGAACAATCCGACTCCAAATGAGAGTTTCGAGTGGTTAGAGCGAGAACACCGCGTCGTCCCTTTCTTCCCACCTTCCTTCTCCCTTTTCCCTATTTTTCCTCCCCCTTTCGCTCCATTCCCTTCGTTCAGACCTTTCAAGAGCCTCAGCAAGATTCATCGGGCGATTTGACATGGAGACCGGAATCCGGAGACTGCTTCTCTGCTGGATATATGTTTTTAGTGTGGCAGGAGCGAACGGTGAGCAAGTTCACAGTGCATTTTTTTTTTTTTTTTTTTTTTTTTTTTTTTTTTTTTTTATAATACAAAACTATTATCTTTCGGCTATGGTTATCTCGTGTCGTACAGAATTATCTATTCCACGTGTTCGGTTCTTCCGGAAGACACTGAATGGGTCATCGATCGTGCTCTCTCTGAAAACGTGACGTTAAATTAATACTAATCGACTCTAGAATTTTATCGCAATTACAGTCTAGACAGACTAGTTAATTTAGGATTGTTATTTTTTCTGCGAAAAAACGTCAATTTTCCTCCAAAAAGTATTTAGCTGGCGAATCGGCAATGTTGTTAATAGACACTCAAGAGGAAACATGGCCCAAATTTCAACGTAGGAACGTCACGTGGACGGTAAATGCGTGGCTCAAGGCCGACGGACGTTCACTCGTTCATCGCGCGACGTGATGATCGGCATCGACCTCGATGCAACGATATCGCGTCTGGTAAATCTGGTGGATGGTTTCCATTAAAACGTGTGCTTCGCTCGCGGAGATACACTGTTGAGAATGTTGTGCGAACCCGTGTACAATAACCCGTAGCGATTCGCGCTCGTGGTGATTAGCAGGGTAATTGTACTGTTTTGTTGGAACGGTTGACGGAAACGTTGCGCCAAGTGAGAACTGATTTCAACCGCGTGTGATCACGTTTATCCGACGTGTGTGTTTTTCGATGGTGAAAGAGTTACGTGTTAGAAAACCACGAATTTTTCTTTTTTCTTTCGCCTATTAGAATTCTCATAGAAAAGTAGTCCACGCGTTTTAGTTGGCGAGATTGGTTAGATCATTTCGCAAGCGGAAAGGAAAATTACGCAAGAATGTTAATCATAGCGCGTGAGAGGCTGGAAATTCGCGTGATTTACGTGCGAATAATAAACATTGCCCAATGAATCACGCGAGCTACTCGTACGTATGTATATCTCTCATTATCCGTCAATTGTTGCCTCTAACTGACTTACGTTCTTACGACTGTCCATTGGCTGGACGGTGAAACGGCTTTTGTCACAGCTGGACTGGCAGAAAAAAATTAATTTCCTCGTCGAATTGTCCGAGTCGACGATAGAAATTGTCACGTGGTGACAGATCTCTGTGCATCGGTTGATTTAGCGACGGGCATGTTTTTACGCAATCAAAACGCATGGTACGCAATTACTCCCTCGTGGTAATTCGTTTCTACGTGTTAATTCCTTGTCGTGAGCTTAATGGTCTGCATCGTCTGAGGCTTGATCGATCGAGTTTAATTTTGTCGGCAACAAAATTGATTACACCATTTCTGTTAATACAGCCATATGGCCAGTCATCGGTGACTGACGTTATTAAATTTTTTAGATTTATTAATTTACTCTGAACGGTTTGTGTGCATATTTTTACGCATACGCTCTTGTAGACTTTTGAGGTGTTAAATTTTTCAAAAATGCGTCAACATCCACGGTGTAATAATAATCAAGACTAATTACAGTTTGTGTAGTCCTGTTATTATAGTGCAACAGGATTTACTCTTCACTGTTCGATAAATTCCATTTCATTTGAAAGAACGTTTGCCACGTTTTCAGAACAGAATCTAATAATACCTCTAGCAAACGTTATATGACATTTACCTTTCCAACAAGTTACGTAACCTTAATGAGAAATTCATCAACTTCATGATCTCTTAATTTCATACTTTCGTTAGATGAGAAAGAAAAGAAATGAATTATTTACCTCCATAAATTTATTCATCGCGAGATGACATACGTGATGAATTCTAAAGTCAATTTGAACAATAGTGTTTGCAATACCGACACTTTTCTCAACTCTTCAATTTATGAAGTTGAATGAACATGAACGTGGGTCCGGATTTTTTCATTGTAACCAGCAAAATCGAAACAGTCACTCAGATTCCTTTTGTTGCGGAAAGAAAGGGAATGGAAGAACGAAAGTGATTTTCCACGCGGAAACGGACACACGACGCTGGACGCCGGATGACACGACACGTCTCAGTTCGGTGTACTTCCTCTTTCGTTCTTTAGAAATCGTGCGAAAGTTAATCGTTTCTCTCGTGAAAAATTGCCCTTGTATTTAAAGATTTCTTACGTCAGAGGGAAAGCTGAATTTTGCATTCCATTCCCGCGTCTCTGTTGATTTGGATTCGCATCACGTGGACAGCAGAATCGTAAAAAGAGAAGGTGAAACTTAATTTAACTGCAGTGAGTTACGAAAGTGTATATATATATATATATATATATTTATTTGTTGGGAAGAAGAATAGACAGTAATATTTTTGGACATTGTTAAAGCATTTTGAATTTTTATTCGACTTTGTAATGGTGCAAGCTAGCAATGAGACACCATTATCGTCTTTGTATCGGCCAAACGACAAAAAGTATACAGAAGTTATAAAACGTTAATTGCAGACATAACGTGTTTAACGAGATTCAATATTTAATAGTCTTCTAATAATAGTCTTCTTCTTTATCGTTACATAAACGGTTGAAGGACACCCAATCGTACGAGCATTTGTTTGCAGCAAACAAAAAATCCCTTATACGTACATTTCTCAAATTGGCTTCATGAATGCAACTCTGACAATCGTATTTCATTTTGGCATTAATCCTTGGACAACGGGTAATTTTATGGCGGCAGGCGCAACGTTCGTTTCGTTTCGTTTCATTTCACATAAAACGAATAAATGTAATTGAGAGGGGAGATACGTTTGCAAACATTATCATTACGAACCCACGCTTACTTTATAATTGTAGAATTATTCTCCTTACATGCTCGGTCAATAGTCATTTTATTGACTCTAGGATCAATAAAACTTCACGAAGTTATGTATCATTGTAGTGTATCAAACCGCTTCTCCTCTTCTAACATGTGCTTCTTCATTTACAATCCTATTATTCACATTCATTACATAAAACACATATTATCGGTTCTCTTACTCCGTGTTTCTTTATTTGCAATTTCATTACACCGATGTGTCTCTGGTTTTTATGGTTGTTACACTTTTCCTCGTTAATCTTCATTTCCAGCCACGTGACCCAGCCCATTTCGAAGATATCATTTCCGGCCGGGTCAATAGTCGGTTTTTCACTTTTTCGCGATTCTCTTTTTCTCGAGAGAGAGAGAGAGAGAGAGAGAGAGAGAACGAATACGAGATACCGATACACGCGGAATCCACGGCCGATTATTATTTTATGTTCCTCCGGTATACCTCTCGCTACTTTATTTTAATCGGGCAACTCGATTTAGTTGCGCGATTGAACACGCTTTTTGCGTTACGCTCCATCTCCGCTTTTTCATTTCCTCCTATCGACCTCACCGGAGAGGATATCGAATCTCGACGCGCTTTCAAGCGATTTCTACACTGTTACATCGATCTCGAGTTTTTCCCCTGTTTTCTTCTTTTTTCCTTTCTTTTTTTTTTCTTTCTCCTCTCCCTGGTTCTTATTTTGAACGACGATGTAGTGGTACTTGCTCAGTTTTATCCGAGGCCGTTCTCTGTCGCTTCTTGCGAGAGGAATTCACCGGGCAAATTCTGCCGCTGCCAATCTGAACGTGAGGCAAAAAGCTGCCGCGGTACGTGCATCGATGTTCTCCAAGCTCAAATGCGACTTAGTGAAAGTATTTGAACGTTTAGCGCAGGAATTGTCTCACTGGATTTCCAAGCGTGCAAAAGGAGGTTGTACTTGCAAAAATTTTCACAAAGTCTCCCTTTGAATTGCGCGAGAAGTTACTTCGTTCAAACTTACGAGATAAATTTTAACTTGGCTATTCGGTATTTAACACCGAAACTGGCAAAGTTTCGAAATTCACGGATTTATTGATTTACAACTATTAATATTTCGATAACAGATCTGTACGATTTGTGCTTTTCACTATATAATGATATTTAGGAATAAACAAGACCAAACTGTCGTAAAGTCCGCGGAAAAGTGAGCCAGGTTCATTTATAAACCCGAGACTCGACGTGAATCCAAACGTGCTATAACGTACCATCGTATTCGGAAGGCAAGTTCTCGTGAAGAATGATTCGTGGCAGGTTTGTCATCCGTGCTCGGTTCGCATTTAATTGCACGACAGAGCCTCGCGATCGAGCCTTGTATGTAAAAGAAGTATTCGCGGAAAAGCGAGGCGAGTGGGTGTTGCAAGTGTCGCCTGTCCAACGAATCCGGCGGCTCGGACTGATTCCTTGGTATATCCGGTCTATCGGACGAAAAATCCGCCGACGTCGGATTTTTGCCTGTTTTTCTTTCGAGAGAGAGAGACAAAGGATTCGGTGAAAGAATTATTAGGGAGGGAGAGTGAAGAGAAAAAAGAAAGAGGGGCTGGAGGGAGAAGATGGGATAACGCGGCGACCCTGGAGGAAGAGGACGCGTAGAATGCAAGAGGGTCTACGCTGGAATGGGAATCGGAGGTGGGAGTGAGAGTGGGAGTGAGGAATCGGCTGGGAGAGGCCATAGGAAAACCGGTTGCCAATCTGCACGGACGTTGGACATCGGCGAACAGCGGCGGAGAAAAGGCTAAAAAAGGGTGTAAAGCCACTCCGGTTTTCAGCAAACCGATCCATCCACCGATCGATTTTCATCGATTTCTGTGAGACCACCGTGGACGAAAAGTGGGAAATAAGTAGGAAAAGCAGTTGCACGAAGGGGAAGGAGTGGAGAACCGAACGAGGAGAAAAGTAGAGAGAGGATTCGAACTGTTAGAAGGAGGCTGTCGTCGATCCAGTTTGAAATCGAAACGATCCTCAAGGATTCCAGGTCGGAAACTGGATACCTGATCTCGTTAGAAGGTCTAGACGCCGATCGATCGATCATTCCATCCTCCATTGCGGGATAGGAGCTTCCCCATCAAAATTATTATAGAACCTAATTTTATGGTTTGTCTTACCATAGATTTGTCTTACCTCCTAAATATTATTATAACTAAATATTAATATAGATGAGATTCGTCACATTGTTGCGTTTTGATGCATTTTTGCTATCT